CAATAATCTGGCTGCCCCCTTCACTTATTATTTATACTAAAAATAATAGAACAGTACAAAGACAACTATGCCCTTATAGGGCGGCAAAACATAAAACAGCATATATCACTTAGAAACATAATAAAATTTGGACTCACATAACTATTGTGGTCCCCACCTCCTATCTAACAACTAACATAAAACATCTACTCAGAAAAAAATTATAAAACAGATTAATCTTCAACAATAAGTGTGATGAGGATGCCAAAGCTTACAAGTCTCTTTTTTCCTAGCAGTGAGTGTTTACTTTCTTTTTAGGGTTGAACCAAAAAAGACAGTAGGCCAAGAAGTACAATGCAGAGAACAACTGAACAGGAAAACAAAAAAAGAGCAGCTTCTACGAATTACAGCCCGGCCCAAGATAACACCAAACAAGGGAATCCCTTTCAACCCCTGCTCTTGCCAAAGAGTCAGCCAGCATGTTGGCACTCCTAGGAGCCCAGATGAATGAGATATTCAGGGAAGAACCTAGTGATCTAGTCAACCATACCAGTGACCTGAATTCCCCAGGAATCTGATCATAAGCCTTCAACCAACCAAAACTGTTTGAATCTGCCTTATTTTTTCAGTTTTTTTTTTTTTTTTGCTTTATTGTTGTTCTTATGTTCTTGCATTTTTGGATTTTCTTCTCAACTTCCTCATACATCTTCTTACCTTCTCACACCATTTTTCCATTCTTCTCCTTCCATTTTCTTTGTCACTCAATGAATTTCTGTCATCCTATCTATTTAGTACAGAAGCTATCCTCTCTAGTAAGCCTGTAAGCTCTATTTGAACTCATTTCCACCCATTTATCAATTCTGTCTCTACTTGTTCCAATGGTTATTTGCTTTCTTTAAGTTCTATCGAGCCTACTGGTTGAGTAAATCCAGGCTCAGTTTCAGACTAACAGGCTGAGAGCATTATTGGCCTGTTTCCAGCTTTTTCAGAGCCCATTACAGCCACCCAATTAGCTACTGTTTGGGTGGGTCTTGCATCATGTGCCAATCAAATCCTGACAAAAACTATAACAAAAACAAATTTGTATATAAGTTGTAAAAAACAATGATTTGGTGTAGTAGGTTCTATTCTAATATTGTGAAGTCACAAAATAATACACACACACACACACTACACCTTATACATACTGTTTTCCCTTTTCATTTGGTGGCATCAATTAACTTAACAAGATTAAGCAAGACGAACATATGGTGAAATATTTACCTGAATAGTGAATAACTAGCATGGGGCTGTTTCCATCCTTTGATACTCTCCCTGCACCTCCAGAGATACTCTTACCAGCAGTATTGTCAGGATCCACCAAGCCAAGCTGCCAGGCTTTCAATGTCACTGGGAGTGTCACTTCTGCACCTGGCTTCAAAGGAAGGGCTGATTTTAGTGTCTCATATGAAATTGAAATAACAGAATCTTGATTTTTGCCTGATAATGAAACATGTGCTTGCTCAACTGGCACAGATCCTGCATTTGCCAAACTTATCCATACATCACGGATTTCACCTTCATACAAGATGGAAGCACCATCACCTCCTATAACATGCGACACTAGCAAAGGCAAAGAGGGCACCACAGAAATATTTGGAACAGATACATTTTTTAACTTAGCAGAACCACAACAACGGAAAGGATCAGAAAGCACAAGTCCTTGTGCTGCACCAAGGAGTAAATTATCAACGTCCTTGAAAAGATGTCGAGTAATAACACCAAAACAATGAACAATGCATCCAGGAATTGTGATTGGACCCACTGAAGTTGGAATCCCTGATAAACTGATTATTTTTGCTGAATTAGGTGGAAGACTCACGCTTATGGGAAAAGCATCAAAATTTCCAGACTGGACTGAAAGATAAATACTATCAACCATTAAGTCAAAGCCACAGGGATTTGCCAATTCCACCAAAACTTCAACAGGTTCTCCAACAACCCATATCAACTCCTGCTTGCTACCATCATTTGGCTCCCCTTTGCTAAAAGGCGTATAAATAAAAGGTCCTGAAGGGGCAGAGCCTACCCACCATTCTTCTCTCCCCAGATTACGTTTTACAATGTCCATTTGTGAGGGATGGACAGGAAAGGAATGCAACCTGGAACCAATAAAATTAGAAATCATGTTAATACAAAGATTCAATCAGTTCTAGTTATTTCATTGATTCGGTCAGTTCTAGTTATATTAACCTCAATCATACATTCCATACTTTTAATTTAAGAAATGCATATGAGTTTCATACTACTCTCTGTTTACAATGATGCCCAAATATGAATACAGACATGGACACAAGAAACCGTGATGCTACTCTCTGTTTACTAAAATCCTTGGCACAGATAATATGCTTAGTTGCTTATATCATGCTTTAATATCTAGTTTTGAAGCTAATTAGTTAAGTGTCATCTCTCAAGACTCAAGTCTTGTATGTATATATATATATATATATACATACAAGAGAGAGAGAGAGAGAGAGAGATTTTCTGATAGTATAATTGTACAAACATATCATTTACATATTGTAGGGGTGGTATTGCTATAGAATATATCTAGAAGCATCCATGCAAAATCCAGTGTTGTATTAGGTACTACCTATATAGCACAATGGTACACTAGGGTAATAAGTATCTGGTTTTAGCATCATAATACATGGTTCTAGAAGTTATAGGAAACCAACACAAAAACAACATTTTTCCTCGTTCAAATTATAATAGCTGAAATCTTTTGATCACAAATCAAATCTAATTTAGTGTACTAAGTCAAATAAACACCTAGCTGAAAGGTTTTTAAGACTTGCCACGTGGATAGTCGGTCCCCTAATTTAATTTCTAGGTCAAATTGGTTTTCTCCAAAGGCTTAACCTAATTTAAGTTCCCAAATCAATTAATAACCCAGAACTAAGGCATTGAGACTTGCAACGTGGATGGTGATTCTCAAAAAAAATACACAAATAGTTACTTGCAACATAGATGGTGGGTCTCAAATAAAATACACATAGATTCACCCAACTTTTCGTGTTTGATACCAAAAAAATCCAATTTATGTGTGCTCTTTGTGTGTGTGTGTTAGAGAGAGAGAGTTGCCAGAGAAGTGGGAGCCACGTTTAAATGGGTTAGAAGCAGTGTTTTAAAAGGCATGGGAGGCATACGCCTGGAGGTGCGCCTCCAGGCGAGGCGCTCCCAAAACACCCTAAGGCGTATGCCAGAGGCGCTGACACCTCTAAGGCATACGCCTCAGGTGCAAGAGGCATATGCCTCTTGCGCTTTTTTCATGAGGCGTGCTAGAGGCGTACGCCTCATGCACATCTGATGTAAAAAGACAGAAAAAAAAAAGAAAAAAGAAAAAAAAGGAAAGGAAAGGAAAAGAAAGGGAAGGGAAAGAAAAAGAAAGAGAAGAAAAAAAGAGAAAAGGAAAGAAAAGAAAAGGAAAGGGAAGGGAAAGAAAAAGAAAGAGAAGAAAAAAAGAGAAAAGGAAAGAAAAGAAAAGGAAAGGGAAGGGAAGAAAAGATAAGGGGAAAGAAAGTGGTTTGCCCCCTACCCCTTCGGCTTGGGGGCTT